TATCCCCTGTGTGCCTTGTCGTTTTTTTTAAATAAAAAGAATGCATTTCCAATGTTGAAGAAAAGACGAATAATAAGAGTAACAGCATTAGCGATAGTAATATCGTGAATGTTCTGCTCGAAGTGTGTTTCAAACATTCGTTTCAAATATAAATCTTCAGAATGCGCCAAGCCTGGGTACGACAAAAGCAAGCAGGAGACGTACAAGAGATCGATGAGCCTGCCGCTGAAGCCGCTCAACATCGTCGCCGAGGTGTCCAACGGCGACGATCGGCGGAAATCGACGTCGGAGTGCGGTGGCGTCGGAAGCTCGTTCGAGTTTCCGCAGAGACGGAAGCTGGACGGTTTGCAGCTGACGCCGCTGATGTCGAAGCTGAGTCTGCTGGCCGACGAGCGAACCAGCGGTTTCTGCAGCCGCGAGACCACGCCGAGCGAATTTCGCGACCTGTCCGGATTTTCCGGCGGCGCGACGGTCACCGCAGCGACGACGACGAATCAGATGATCAGGCAGAAACTGGAGTCCGCCGAGAAGGAGGCGAGCGACGGCGAGGACGAGCTGGACGAGGACTGGGTCAACAAGGACGATCCCGCCGCCTGCCTCGTGAAAACCGAGCTCTTTCTCTGCGGCTATCAGAACATGGTGCTGGTGCTGCTGATGGAGAACGGCACCGCGAACAATCCGGATTTGATACATGCTTTGGTAGGTGCGAAAGTATCATAAAATTCATTTAACAAGATTTAAATTCAGGAGTAAAAAGAAATTACAAAGGATTATTTTTTATGAACAATAATATAATATAATATCACTTTTAAGAGAAAATTTAAGGAAATAATTAAAAGAATGGATTTTTTTATTGTCCGAAATATTTTCTCGAGTGTTATTCATGTCAATACGCAGTTATGAGAATAGACAAATGATTTGTTTTGCAGTTATACGAATAATAAATAATTTGTTTCGTATAGTGGCATACTTGCGTGAGCACGTTGGGTAAGCTCGAATCGCGGCTGCAACAGTGTCTGGAACCGCTGCCATCCACGGAGAACAAGGAGCTGTACAGTATTCTGAATGTGGATCCGCAGTGGGACACGGTGCAACGTTCTGGACTCTGGGGCGTTACCGAGTTGGACATCGTGTCCTGCCTTCACGACAGATTTACGCAAACCAGCAGTTTGACGGACATTATCGTCAGGTAATCTTCGAAGATCTTAATTCTTTAGAAAGCGAAAAAATTCATTGTTTACTTTATATTTAATCTATATTTGAGACTCCTTCTCTTTCTTATTCGCGAGCTGGTTTTAGTTTTTAGTGCGAATTCCTTGTAAAACAAATATCTTCTAATTAGGTGATCATGTTACAATTTCTCGCTTTACGAGATTTATTTTGCCTAGTTAAATTTGCAGAAAATTAAGAATAAGAAGTTCTTATAACATTACGTGGCGAGTGAACGTGTTAAGATATTATGATAAGAATCGAGTTTGCCTAGTTAAAGGCCTTGGCATAAGAGAATATTTTTATTGGGTAGAACGGAAGACACGGTGGTTTACGGTAACCAGAGCGGGGGAGTAGAAGTTTTCTACCAGCAAGCAGTGGCGCCGAACGCTTTCGCGGCGCTTCCCACCCCGGCGGATCTGATGGGGATCGTGGCTCTCAAGGCGAAACGTCGATTGGAACGGGATCACGGGATCGTGCTGCTGTAAATTGCGGGGACTGCGCGTTACTTCTTTTTCTTTTTTTTTGTCAGAAAAAAAAGGAGGAGGATAATGCATACGTTCACGATTTCGCTTATTTGCTCTCGGCAAGAGAAATTATCATATCCAGTACAAGAGAGGGAAAGAGAAAGAGGAGAATCGAATGTGTTACTTTGACGAGATAATTTTAACAACGGGAAATATACGGGAATGTTTTTCTACGTGTATTTTTGTAATCTGTGATTTTCCAATGTACCAAGCGTAAATTCCAAAAAGAATCGGCGGCAAAGATCGAAGAGCTTTTATATACCGCTGCAGTGTACCTACGTAATTCCTAGGCGTGTAATTACCGTGTCGAGAAATTTTCTACGATAGCGACCAACCAGTTTGTACTTTACCGTTTCATCAATCGTGCAAACCGATATCATAGCAAATGTTATTTATAATATGTTATATATGTTATTGTATATAAGATGTCTTAGAATCGACGGAAAGTAGATAGCGTTACATTGTTTTTAAAATAACTTGAGAGATAGTTTCTAAAATTTTAACCTACCTACGATATGTATCGTGAGAGGCGGGCATATCTCAGTAGATTCTGATTTATAAGTCAATTAGAAGGGAGAAGCCTTTTGGGAACCAGACTTCGAAAGTGAAGGTAAATAATGTAATATTGTCCGTAATTTAATTTTTAAAGCGAGTTTTAGCCTTAACAAGATTTTTATTGGATTCACCGTCTAAGTAATTACTATAAAAATACTCGCTTTTTCTATTATTTAAAAGTTACTAAGAGATGTAGAATATTGATATCTGAAGAAAAAGGTTGATTCCGGATTTTATGGGATACAGCACTGTATCTTAAGTGATTCTCGGACATCCTGTATATATAGCCGATTTATTGTACATACGCATTTATTATACATAACGCATAACGAGCCATTACTAACTTATTTGCATTTTAATCGAATCAGCGCGAATTAGACACTCAGTTTTATTAGAATTAGAGGATAGTTAAAGGTATAATGTATTCTCCGAGAAGAGAGACGGAAATCAGTATTTCGCGCTGCGTCCAGTATTTCTAGTCGTCCGACTTGCTTTTGTAGGGGAAAAAGAATAGAGATGAATAATAATATTGCAAGAATCATCTAATCGACGTTGTCAATTTTAATGTAAAAGATATTTTATGCGACGTTTTATGCGCTACTTTTTGCAACATCACCGCCGTCTCGGTGTTAATTAAATCAATTTTTTGTCTCATAGTATTTAAATAAAAATGTCGATGACCTCACGCAGAAATCTTCCTCGAGACAAGTTTTTCGTAACAACGATATGCAATATTTCCAAAATATTTATGTTGCGATTAATTTAAATGTTATTTAAATTGCTAATACAATGCATCGAGATTTTTTGGCGAGCAGAGAGATTGAATCATGTTTTATCATTGCGTGTATTCTCTGGTGATCTTTTTCTCTGTGCTCTTATGTTTTGTTTGCGATGAAGTCTAATAAAGCGATTTATCGTTCTTTACATACGTTCTTGAACTTCCCGGCGCATCCTGTGATCTTTTATATAATAAAGTTATTAGTTTTAAAGTCACTTTTTATTCGAATAATTATAAAGATATTTATTTTTTATTTTCATAAATACTATTTATGATTATTATACTACTCAACAAAATTAAAGCATCACTTAAAATTACACGTTACTTTAAGTTTTTCCTTTAGCGCTGATTTTAAGTAATGCTTTAATTTTATTGAGTACCGTATAATACAGAAGCCTTGAAATTTAATTATTAAATAATTATTCGTGAAGTGACAATCAAATGTTATGAGATGCTCCTGATAAATCAATGGAATTTAATATTGATATTAAATTTAATACTAATAAAATCGACAGGCACATTTGTCGTAGTTAACGCATCGTCTAAGCGTTTAAGGTAAACAGCAAAAAAGCATGCTCCAATTTAATATTACGTAGTATAAATGCATAAATGTATTAGAGGGTGTGTACACGGAAAAACTGCATTCTAACACCAGGCGGCATAAATATGTTTACTACGTGATACGGAAAGTGATATGTTTACGCGAAAAACTACTTTAATATGCCGAAGGTGACAAATCCGAAGTTGTTCCGAAGCGAATGAAAGAGATACCGAGATTTTATTATGGATCGCTCTAGCATTTATTAAATGGCTCTTTATATAATAATTATTATTATATCGCGAGTTTTTTTGTATAAATGCAGAAAAGCTTTTTTTAACCATTTCAATTCGACTTTAATAGGATTGAACAGTATTGTACGAATTTCCTATACATTTCTTTGCAATTTGCAGTTTTTTAAACATTTTGCAAAAGACGTATTTATTTTTGTAAAATAATGTTATCACTAACAGTAATTTCGTACAAGACCAAGATATATATACAACTAATAAATATTCTTACCAATTTACTACAATCGATTTATCAGAAAATAATTTGTCTAAAATTACGTAAAATGGAAATTTTTGTGACGCAATACTGAGGACCTTCAGAAAACTTGCTTATATGCATAGCTATAGGATCAATCGGAGAAATGTGGTATCGTGTGCTAATTAGGAAGGCGAGCCCACCTCGAATACGTGTCGTCAAGCGTATATCACGGCTTTAATGATGCGTTTAATTAAAAAAAAAAAACCTGTCGTCGTCACCGGCTTGATTTATGGGCCACTGACCACGAAGAACGTGGCACAAACAAGCCCCCGCCGTAGACCAATCGCGTGATAGTGAGGGCCGGTGAGCTTGATATTTAAAGGCAAACTCGATGCAGCTCGCGATAATCGAGTGCTCGGTATCCTCCTAGAAAAGACTTTTTACCGGTTTCCTCGATTTCGAGATTCATCATGGTAAGTTGGAGAACTAACTCCGACTAGACCTAATAGAATTTATTTTCTTTTTTAATTTACTTCATTATTGAGTCCAACACTTACATACAATTCGCAAAGACGGACTTTTTTGAGATCCTTCTATGTGATACGCATCGTGGAAATCCGTTGTCTCGTTTATAACAAACATTTATTTATTAATTCATTTATTTGTCCTAATAATAAAATAAATTCTTTGCGTTTCCTTCCAGACGACCTACACCGATAAAGGACTCCAGGTAAACAGGCATTTCTCACCAAAATGTTGGAAAGACGTTGATTTCTCGTCTGGAATTACTGTTATTTAAAATTTATATATAGTAATTATAGAGAGAATAACTATTAGAAATGTGACGCGATATCTGCATTTTTCAGCCCATTGGAGGAAAATTTCTCAGTTTCGATCACATAAGATTCTGGGTCGGAAATGCAAAGCAGGTAAGTTCTCATACGCGCAGTGTTTCTTAATACGTGGGAATATTTTAGAAAAAAAACTCAGAAATCGAATGTATAGTGTTCATTATGAGTCTGCTCTTTATCTTTATGGTTCTCTTCGAATTTTATCAATTTTATCAAGCTATCTATGTACACAAACTTTGTTGGTTTTATTCCTGAATCTTTCTTATATCTTGAATCGTTCTTATATTTTCCACGTGTCAGAAAATGCCTCGTATATAAAGTGAAATATAAGAAAAAAAAAATATAGAAATTGCATAGATTATATGCGAAAATGAATTGCGTCGCTTGTAGGCCGCCAGTTTCTACCGATGCAGAATGGGATTCGAGCCGTTTGGATATCGCGGTTTGGAGACTGGCTCCAGACGAACAGCCGCGTACGCCGTCAGACAGAACAAAGTAAGTAATTTTTTTAGTCGCACTGACGAATGTATAAGCAGCAGTAGAGATCAAAATTAGAAAAAATTCTTCAATAGATTTACCTTAATTAACGGCTTATTTTTAACGACAAAGAATAGTTCTTTTCGAAATCTTACGATACGATCGCCCAAGACGTATAGTTTTCTCATTATCAACATCATCGATCGTAGATAGTGTTTGTATTCGAATCTCCGTACGAGCCTGATAACGAAGAAATGTCGGAGCATCTTTCTCGACATGGGGACGGCGTGCGAGATGTGGCGTTCAACGTTGAAGACGTCGACACCATTGTGATGGTAAAGAAATGAAAGAGATGCTTTTTCTTCGCTGAAAAAATAGAAGTTCCTCTAAAATTAAAAGCGACACTTTATTTTTTTTTCTATCGGAAAATGACAGCAAAAGTAACTTTCAACTTTGGCTACGTTTTTCCACTCGCAATGCTCTTGGAATCATTTCATTCTTGTTTGTCAAGTCAAATGTTAAACAAGGACAAATAATGCTCTCAAGAATTGCAAGCGTTAAGTTAAACGCAGCCTCTATCTTCATGTTAATATTTTAAACGATATGCGTATGCAGATTGCTAAGGAGAGGGGCGCTGAAATAGTGCGCGACGTATGGGAGGAAAGCGACGAACACGGCACCGTGAGGATGGCCACTATGAAAACCGTAAATATAAAAATATATACGATTACTTCCCTACGATCTGCGATATCATTGTTTTCTGGATGACAATTAATGTCTTTTTTATTTTATAGTATGGCGATACACTCCATACGTTAGTCGACAGGACGAGGTACAAGGGCTTCTTCTTGCCGGGCTTTGTGAGGTCACCGAAGGATGCTCTTATCGAACAATTGTGCGTATGCAAAAGCGCGATATAGTAGCAAAAGCCAGAATCATTCCACTCTAAAAAGAAAACTAAAATAATATTTTAATCACAATATTTCGCATATCTCTCGGACGAAAAGAGAATATTTTATTCGTTAGAAAAATTAAGGACATTCTTTATTTTAAATTCCCCGATAAATTTAAAATATCCTAGAATTAATCTCTAATATGTTGAGCGCAAAAGAAACATGGGATACTCATGTTTCTAACATAACTAACTGTAAACTAATTCGATGTACTTATTTTATCGTAGGCCGCGAATACATTTGAATTTCGTGGACCATGTGGTGGGTAATCAGCCCGACAGTCAGATGGAACCCGTCGCGGAATGGTATGTAAATGGTGAATTTATCTATTTGTGAACGTAAACACGTTTATGCTAACGAGAAGTCGTATATACAATCCAACGCATTTTCTCCTGATTTTATTTTAGATTAGTAGTTGATAACAACGTATGTTACAATTCATTAGTAAAATGCTACGTTAGTGCATTAATGTAATAATGTAGAATAAAATGCGTTCTCACGCTCATCGAATATACTGTGAGAGATCCATAAATTAGATATCTCCAAATTCCCGCTGATAAAATATTCATAGGCTGAAAAATAAAATACTTAACTCAAATAACGAATTTCTCTTTCTCTCTCAGGTACGAGAAGTGTTTACAGTTCCACAGATTCTGGTCGGTGGACGACACGCAGCTGCACACGGAATATTCCGCGCTACGGTCCATCGTGATGACGAACTGGGAGGAGACGGTGAAGATGCCCATCAACGAGCCCGCGCCAGGGAAGAAACGATCCCAGATTCAGGAGTACGTCGAGTACTACGGAGGCGCCGGCGTGCAGCATATCGCCCTCAATACCGGCGATATTATTACAGCGGTATAAGATAATAATTGCGCGTCCTTAATTATATCTACGCGTATTTCCTGCAAAATGCCGTGCAATATAAAAGCAGCTTTAAAAAACCCAACTTTTTGGTTACAACTCTCTTAATATTTTTATTCTATAATTTTTACTAATTAATAATAATTAACACATGAGTTTCTTCAATATTTTTAATTCACTAAAATTAAGATATAAAAAATGTCACACACATACACACACACACACACACAACCGTTCTCACGCTCTATTTTTTTTGCAGATAACAAATCTGCGTGCCAGAGGGATGGAGTTTCTCGATGTACCCGACAGTTATTACGACATGCTCAGAAACCGTCTGGAAGCCAGTGGCACGAAAATCGTAGAGGACTTGGATATACTACAGGTACCTTTATTGATAACGATCTAAAGCTAACGGTACAAGTTGCAACACGTTTTCTATTAATTCAATTGTTATTCGCTTTGTAGAAATTAAAGATATTAATAGACTACGACGAGAACGGATACCTTCTACAAATATTCACGAAAAACATGCAGGACCGGCCAACGCTGTTCATAGAAGTCATACAGAGGCGCAACCATAACGTAAGTATATCGAAGGAAAAAGTGCGTAGCATCGTAATTTTACATCTGTAAGTTTACAAAAATTTACTAGTATCTAAAAAAAAAAACACGAAGAAAAGTTAACTAATATTTAAATAATCGTATTTAATTTGCTATTTCTTCCTTAGGGTTTCGGCGCCGGCAATTTCCAAGCATTGTTCGAAGCGATCGAATTGGAGCAAGCGAAACGTGGGAATCTGTAGAATGCCAACATTGCTGATATATTTGTAAAATTAGAACCGTTAGCCCGCATAAAGTAAATCCTATGAAAGAGTGACGGACGAGTATCTTTGTACTTAATTGTATTAGTCTACTTATTATAATGAGATATCACATTAAAAAGTGTGTTTATGTATATAAAATCGAAATTTATTTCAACACCGTCTAACATTCCGGCTACATGTCGTTATCTATTGATAATTAATAATTCGTTCACACTGATAATGAAGAGCTGTATGCTTTATTTGTCGCGACTCAATGAAAAAAAATGTCAAGGTTCTACGTTTTTCGTATATGTGGAATAGATAATCAACTTGTCCGTATTAATTCTTGTATTTAATGGCCAACATTTTCGTATTACAAAAATACACAGCATTTTAAAATGTAAAATATGTTACAATACATTTCAAAGCGTAGTAATGCAAAGATATTATCTGCCGTCGAAATCAAACGATCTCTCGATCAATGAGACATCTACGTGTGTAATGTGCTAGTTACAACTAAAAAATGTAAATGTCTTTTCAGACAACATATATACAAATATGTGTGTATGTGTGTGTGTGTGTATTGTATGTGTATATGTATATATATATATATATGTTGTATGGAAAAAAGCGACGAAATTACTTAAAACTGTGTGTGATATCGGATGTTTCTAGATTCGTTCTCTCTTTTTTTTTTCTTATCGTGGCCAAGATATAAGCGGGAGAAATATTCTTCATATAAAACTTGTAATATTATCTATAGAAAGAGAATAGGGATAGGAATAGGATTGGTGGTTGTGACGAGAGGGTTATCGATGAGATTAAGGTGGCTCACTTATTAATCGCGATCTCCGGGGGCTCCGTCCGTCGCTCGACAACCTGTGTGTGTGTGTCTGCACACACGCTCGTCGCAAAAGTCAGCCTGATCCTCCTCGCTCATACGCTGTCGTGAATGCTAAGGCGGAAGATGTCATGCTGACAGTAGTACGAATTACCCATTGGCTTCAGCACGAAACATTGCGAGAAGGCGTGCGGTGGATCCTCGTCTGCCTGTAATCAGACGCAAGCTATTTGCTATACATATACATATAACGATATGTTCTGAAAAGCACATGACAAAAGAAAAAACAATGTTAATGCTTAATTACATCGAAGTGTCATACGATTCAATTTTTAACGTTAAAAGTACAGAAGTAATACAGCTTTTTAAATGTTAATGGTAGCTTAATGATTGTTCCAATTTGTTCAGCAATTTAATCTTGTGTCGAGCTCTGTTCGTCTAAGCGTCGAATTAAATCCCAGTGATCCCAGACACGTACATTTGCGCAACTTGCACGGGAACCTGGTCGCTTGTGGCCCGTGATTGCGCGTCTGAGACCTCTGAATACATCACATGCATGTCTACGTTTTATAACGTGAACATTTTAGATTGGCACACGTTATTCAAGCAAAATATATTAATGAAAGAATAAAAGAATTGCGTAGGGAGAGACACGTAGCAATTAAAAATAAAAATTGTATAACAGACTGAAAAAAAAAAATCAAATTGCATGAATTAAGACAATCGTAGATGTTAATAAAATTGAAATTTTCACAGTTACACTTAGTTTTAAACATAACACAGACTTTTAGCAGCAGCGCAGCCTGTAAAAATATAGAGATACGTTATACTGAGTTTCATTGATCCAGAAATTTTGCGATAGGTCAAGATAAAACGAAAGCGAATACGTGACGTGAAACATCGAGCAAGGCTTGCCTGTTACCCACGGTACGCAGAGTAACGAAGATTTTGCGATACCTGATGCCTAAACCGTGTCGTGTAACGCAAGTCTGAAGATGTCATGCTGCACGTAAAAGCTGGTACCGACCGGCTTCAGGACAAATGTCTGGATGTACGCGTGAGGTTGATCCTCGTCAGTCTGTACGATCATTAATAATCTCTAAATATCTCTCGATACTGATGAAAACCTACTTACTACAAAACTTGTTTTCCGTCTAGAATTTCTACCTACAATTTCTATTTTCTCCTGCACGTTAAAACTCGTTTTATTTCCAATAAGTGCATCGCATCTAAGAATTTCTCTTTTCATACAAATATGTAAAAATCAAGTTCGTAGTACCATTAAAAATTAAAAATTAAATTACTGAACCGATTGGATTAGTATAAAACATAACTCACATATGCTTTAAAATAATATAATTTTAATATCATTTTCTATCAATATAACTTTAATGCTACCGCCACTATAATTAATTGTATTTTTATTGTATTTGTATTGTGGATGAAACAGAACAGTGGCTGTTTACAGAATAATCATTACTAGCTATACTTTCCTTACCTGCAACCTTCCTAGTACATTAATAAGAACTCCACCATCGAACATTGGTTGCGAATCAATCGCTGTTATTATCCGATTTATTTTTTGAAAGGATAAGCTCTGAAAAAGAAAAAAAAATTAATATAGCAAGGTATTCATTTTATTGGATTTATATTAATGATTAATAAATTAAAAAGATTTGAAAATCAATATAGAAAGTTCAAATGTGCAAACCAAACATAAGTATTTGATAAAGTGTAAATACAAAGTCTAATATATTTGCATATAAATATTATATATTTATAACGTGTGCTCAATCTCTAGAATCTGTTATTTCTATTTGGCTCTAACTTCTACTTTAATTCTGGAGTGATCAAATTTTATAACATTTTTAAATTAGACTGACGTCACTCAGTTCTACAGATAGATTAAAAGTATTGAAACTAGTTTCTGGACTTGCGGCAATAAACTTCGTACAAAGAAAAGCATGAAGATCATAGAAGCTTATTAATATCAAGCCTGCCATGAAGAACGCTATAAAGATATTAACGCCTTCTACGAAGAGGACATTTCAACTGAACATAACGTTCTTCTTGAATCCTATCAATGCAATCCCGACGGTCGACAATAAGCCAGCGATAAGAACAGAGATTTTCAAGTTCCTTTCCTCTCGGATCCGAGAGGAGGAAGACACTTCTCGCAAGACGGATGATGAATCCGCTACCGTAAATCGCAGACCGATTATCAGACGGCGGCGGGGGGAGGAAGCTTTACTCACAGTTAACTTCTCCATGATTTTGATAGCGCCCTGTATCTGCAAGCCCTCGAACGTCATGAAGGACGTCTCCGCCTGTGGGCAAAAAGAGAGGTTATGTCAGTAGTCAGCCGCGAGACCGGGCGGGGTGGTCGTGAGAGAGAGTCGCGCGACGGACCCTCGCGCGCGCGCGCGAGGAGGAACGGCTTACGTTGTACATGTTTATGAGGTTCGGCCGTTGCGCCGGGTCGTCGAACATCGCGTAATACTGCTGGACGAAGCCCTTGCCGATCGCCTCGTACGGCACGTTCATCGTCATGGTGCTGCTGCGGACGGCAGTTGCGACCGGCGGCGACGGTGCGGCGGGTGTCAGGCACGCCGATTAACGCGACTCCACCACCTCCTCCTGGTCTCCGGGTGCTACTCCACGCACGTTCCGTCTCGACTTCCGTCCGGGGCCTTCCTTGCAGGGGGGGGGGAGGAAGGTCTACCTACTACGAGCGCGAAGCGGCGCCGTGCGACATCCCTCGTGTCGTATCTACGTATGTATACGAGTGTATTACGAGTGCTGGAGGAACGTCGTCGAGCGCTCGCGAGTGACCGGTGACGAGACGAAGATACCTCCTCTCGCTCGCGCGATACATCGACGACACCGGCGCCGCCGGGAGCTTCTCGAACGTTCGTCGGCAACCGGCGTTCAGCTGCACCTCTTCGACAATCTCGGCAGTCGGCATCCTTCTCGCTCTCGCGCCCGCCGCGCGGCACCGCCTGTCTCGCTTCAGTCGCAGGTAGGGCCAGTAAGTGCAAACGATCAGCTGTGCGGCTTGTGCGTGGCCGCGCGCGTGCCGACTAATAATTATATGTTCTCGACTTATTTATTTGGCCAGAAATGGTTCATGATATTGATTCCGATAGCGTCACTTCGCGATTGTCTTGTATTACAACGTACGGGATTACCTTTTAGCTCACATCTTTCTGCTGCTTGAAAGCTAGGATTGCGCCATGAAGCATCGTGCTCTTCTTTCTCTCTTTCTTATCATAAAGGTATATGTTTGTTTTTCTATTATTAAAAGTACGAAACAGATACACAAGAATGCGCGAATATTCGAACTCTCGTCGAGAGCGGTCGCCGCCGGTTTGTTTCGGATTTTTTTTCTCGAATTAATTGAAAAAAAAATTCGACTCGATTCAAGTGCGGCCGTGCGGGTAATCGAACTTTACACTTCGGCGATTCGATTGTTGTCTTCTCGACATCTCGACTTTGTCGATCAAGTTGTTCAAAAGTAATATAACAGTATAACTGTGAGCTAGATTTCCGCAGGTCTTGTCGACAGTGATTCGACCTGCAGTGTCCTCATACTTGCGACAATACAACGGTAATCACTGTCGTTAAGAATTACAGAGTCTAGCTGCTGAAGAGCACATATAATTGCACGAATGTTATCGTATTTCTCCATTATAAATTGTTGTCGATTTACACATACGATAGACTATATTAACGATATGTGTCGGAAATTATATTGAAATATATTTAATATCTAATTTCAGGCTTGAGCTCTAACGAGGGCGTAAATAAATTTAAAAAATACATTTTATTTTATTTTTTTAAATTAATTTCTTTCATTATTCCTTGGAGTGAACTTTTTGCCATTATTCATACCTTTCTAGTTATTTTTCACACTTTAATCCCATTTATCTTTTAGTTATTTTTCATACTTAATCCGACGTATCGTGACGCTGAAACATGAAATATTTTGTTTTCCTATTTCTCGATTTTATCTCGCTTATTAATTCGCGGAATTAAAGACAGATACGATCGATCGACGATCTTATCGTTTTATAAATGGAGGTAAATAACATATCAATAATCTCACTGTATGTAACGCTACTCTTTTGCAATTGTATAGGTATTAAATGGAATTATATAATATTTCGCATGCGTCTATTTTTCATCATCGTCGTCGCAAGGTATGTTTATCGTAATAAAGCATCGTGTCATTCTCCGCGCGTGGCGGTGTTGTTATTATTGATGAATCTCGAAATCTCTCGCCGGTTTACTTTCTTCCGGTGCGGCGGCGGATTGCACGGGAAATCGCACCGTGCATAGCTGCACGCACATCGCGCACGCAGGGGGGCGGGAAGGGGGAGCGGGACCATCGCTCGAATATTTGCGTATCGCAATCGTACGTAAGCACACCGAATAAATAAGATAATCGACCTCCCTTCGCCACGCGCGCTCTCCTCCTCGGATTTCATTTGCAGGCGTACGACGATTGAAGATAATGCGACTTAATTTCTGCACGATGAGCGCGCGCGAAGCGCGCGCAAGTTACGCCCGTTCCGCGCGGCTCGGCGCGGCGCGGCGCGTTTGTCGAGATCCATGCTCCGACGAGATCCGCGTCTCGTGATGCCTAATTGCTCGAACCGCAATTAAAGTCGTATATCGTGCGTATCTCCGCGAGAGAGAAAATACCGAGACGAGGCATCGCCGGCCAGATTTTCTCGCGCATTTCGCGTCGCGCCGAGAGATCTCTTCCAGAATTGACCCAGGCAGCACCCTGGAAAACGTTTCCGAGTGGTTAAAATGTCCACTCGAAAAACGTTCAAAGAAACGGTTTTTTTTTGGTAAAAAAAAAAACGTAGAGAAATACACATAATCGAAATATCATTTTCTTCTCTATCTGTGAAAAAATTTACTTGAAAGGAACGAATGCGTAAACTTTTTTACAGAGAAAAAATTATATTTCGATTATATTTCTCTACGTTTTTTTCTTACCAAAAAGAAATGTTTCATTAAACGTTTTTCGAGTGGACATTTTAACCACTCGGAAACGTTTTCAAGAATCGGTTATAAATCGTTTCTGAAACGTGCTACCTGGGGAATGTCTGGGGAAACGTTTCTCCCTCGTTACACGCTTTTGTCCCTTCGACTGTATAGAGTGCTTCGATGATGTTGTCGTTCACGTTTTGCAAAACGTTTTGTCCTCGGCCTCGGGGTATGGATAACGTACAGCGCGCGGTGTCGCGTGCATATACGCGTATATATGTATATAACATTCATCGTTGCATAATCCCCCGGGTATTGCAACACCATTGTGCCATCCGCTATTAACGTCGACGCGGGTATTGTTGCACCGCGCCGCGGCCGCAACTGCCTGTTTTTCGCCTTGAGCATTCTTCGGGAGAGCTATATAGACGCGCTGAAACTTTAATAGAGTGCCATCGCGATGAGCGAATTGCGCGGATACAAGAGGACGGGAAAGAGCGGCGGGGCTTTTCGAAAGAAGCCGGCTCGGCTCGTCTCTCTCTCTCTCTCTATCTCTCAAGAGCAGACGATCAACAATAGCGTGACATTGAAGCGAGCTGAAAGATATAAGTGGCACTTATTAATACCAGAAATACCAAATTGTATGCGGAAAGGCACAAAAATAAATACACGCGTTGTTATTGTACCTCTCTCTCACAGACGTGATCGTGTACTTGAGACGAGTTATTCCGCTCTGGTTTACGAATCAATTAGTCGACCTTTAGGTCGACAGGTACAACGCGACGTTACGCGAGGCTGGTTAAAGAAAGCGACGTACGGATCGTCGCGCGGCGACATTGACCTGATTTGAAAAAAAAAATGATAAGAAGTAGAGGAAGCTATAAGTATCTCGCTCTCGCAAACGCGCGCCGCATTCGTGCTCTATCTCGCGCAGGACTGAAACTAGGCTAACACAAGGTCCTTGCTGACGTTATCGCGATACATATATAGAGAGTCTGTTAACGGTCTTCTCTTTACCTGAAAGAAGAAAAATGCCGCAATTACACGCGGAAACGCTCGTAAAACCGGGGAGGGAAATATGAACGGGCGAGATTGAAAGAATCGCGGGAGAGACGTGTTTAAAGGTCGAATCGTGACGGTATTAAAAAGACTTAGCGCGCTCTAAGCTTTGCACGAGTGTGGCGTTCTAATTATAGCCGAGAGAGAAAGAGAGAGAGAGAGAGACCTCTTCGGCGATTCGCGTTGCCATATGGAGCACGTTCCGGGCAGAGCGCAAAGGGTTAAACAACAGGCTTCGCGCCAGCGTGGCGCTTCCCGTGGCCGATTGGCATTCAGCGAGGATCGGCCGGTCCACCGGCCATTAATTGCCCATTATATCGTAACGTGGGTGGGCCGCGGAGAGTGTAGTATTATACCTATATTCACTCCCGCTCCTCCCTCCCGTCCTTCCTTCTGCCCGAACGTCCTCGACGAAATAGCGATGGGGACGACACTCGCGGGCGGAGGTGTCACGATCGTCGTCGTCCGAACGAGAATCGCCGGCTTGCAAATCCCTCTTTTCGCTCCGAGAGGAGATCCCTAGCCTCGGTTGAACGGCCCTACCCTACCCTCGAGCGTGCCCACCAGGCGTCTATAAGAAGTATGTCGTCGGCCTCACGAACGAAATCTCCCGTTCTCCTTCTCTCTCGTATATGTATATATCTATATATATTTTCGACCGAAAACCTGTTTCCGGGCACGGCATAGTTTCGTCCGGCCGACGACGTTTCTCAAGGCTCATCATCTCGCCGCCGCCGGCTCGGTCCCATCGCTAGCCGTTTAAATATATACACGTATACGGACGGAGGAGGCATGGATTTAATGGAATGGTGGAGCGGCCGGCCGTGCCGTTGTCGTCCATCGCGTGTGTATATTGTGTTCCAGCGGCCGCGCTCACGTGACACTCGGATAGATTTGCGTCAATGGTGACCTCCGAGCGCTCGCTCGGCGGCCAACGCATACCATGTTGCCTGCCCTCCTGCCTGCCTGCCGGCTTGGCCTGCCTGTTCGCCCGCTTGCTCGCCTGCCCGTGCCCCCTATGTACGTGCGTATACACGCTTACGGCGTGGGACCGACGACGACGACGACGACGTGGCGAGAGCGAGCGGCGTCGGCCGCAGTGGGACTCGCGGTCTTTTTCGACTGTCGCAATTTTCCCCACGAGCGGATCACGTCCTCCGTAAATTGCGCTACATTTTTCGGCATCCGTATCCGCGTCGGACGAAAAATGTAGCGCGTGCGGAACGCACGCCGCAGCGAGTCCCGGGGACCGTGTCTCGGAGTCAACAACGCGGCTGAGTCCGCGATTTAAAAGCCGTTCGTCGACCCGAACGAGCGGTCGCTCGAAAATTTCCACGTTTATGCCAATTACAACTGCAGCATGCCCGTTTACCCGAGAGAGCTAAGCGGCGGCTTCGTTAGCGCTCGTTCGCGACTCGCAATTCGCGCGTTTTTCGAGAAGCCGCGCGTGTGTGTTTCGAGAGCCGCTATAGAGGTTCCCCTCCCGATCCCGTTTCACCGTCCGCGTCGTCCCGACGACGGCGGATCCGCTTATCGCCGCCTCGGTATATAGCTCGGGCCGATTGCGAGGAACGTCCACGCGCGCGGAACGGAGGCGAAGAGAGACGAGAATGAATAATATCGAGAAAAATAAGGAAAAATAGTAAGCATCGACGTCAATGGATGTAATTACCGACAACGTGCGGATTGCCGCCGTTTATATTCCGCGAGCCATCGCGATCGCGACGCGCCTGCACATGCGTTGCACATTGCGGCATATCGGTGGCGACGGAATTGAAATTGACACCGCCTTATCGATATGGTTATCCGTATGCAT